GGTCGTTCCTCTGACGGCGGGCGATCGACACTGACTCTGAGCTTGAGCTGCAGAGAGAGAGCCGGTGTGGGGGGCGTGTCCACAGAAACTCACCCACAGAGGGGGGGAGGACTGTGGCGTTTTCAGAGGGGGAGGGGGGGAGGAGGCGATGCGTTCGAGTGCTGCTCGTTCACCTGATGATTCCAGCTGAGCGCAGCCGAACAGAACAAACAGAAGCTCAGGTGCTGCTGGAGGTGAACGTCTCCACTGAACTGTGCCGTTTGAGTCGGACGCGATGGAGGAGGAAGCAGGCTGCTGCCGCTGGCTGCCGTGAATATCAGTCGTCTGACGCACACTGACTGTCTCTGTGGTCAAGTTGTGTGTCTTTGTGGTGTTTTGTGGTTGTTTTATACGTCTCTGTGGTCATTTCGTGTGTCTTTGTGGTGGATTTATGTCTCTTTGTGATCACGTTGCATCTTTTTGTGTTGGTTTTTGTCTCTGTAACTATTTTGTGTGTTTTTTTTCTCGTCATCGTGATGATCTTTTGTCTCTTTGTGGTTGTGTTGTGTCACTTTGTAGTCTTTGTCGTTATTTCCTCCTGCTGTAGTTTGTAATGTGTTCTCCTGTCATTCCTTTGACTTCCTGCCTGACTCCGGTCGGGCATCAGAACACGACAGCATTTTAAAAAACGCACAGAAAGCAAAAGGAACAGAAAGATTCCAGATGAACAGGCGACAGAAACAAACCGTTCAGCTGCATCATCCTGATACAGACGTTTGTGTTCAGACTCTGTGTTTGTGCGTCGTTCATATCAGTTTTTATCTTCTTAAACAAAATGTCTGCACTAAGTGAAAAGAGACAGAATGAACATTGAGACATTCAGTTTCAACTGTCAGATCTGCGCCGGCACATGGAGATAAATAATCTTCAGCATTTTCTTTTTATCATCCTAAATATACACATTTTTGTTGTACACATATCTCCGTCTTCAGCTCCTTTCCTCCACATCACGTCCCCTATTTCATATTTCTAATGTTTTATTACGACTTTTACTGTAAAATGCTGGATGGCTTCTTCCACCAGTAACAGAGTGCTGCTGCCCCCCAGAGGCTGAAGTGGTCATTACAGCCACAATATGAGCAGACTTCATCCCATAGACTGTATATACAGATGGACAGCATGGCAGCGCTCCCCAGAGGTGAAAATATGGCAGAAATGGACACAATCAAAGTAAAGCATGGGACGTTTCTCACACCAAGTACTTGGTGTTTAAGGCATAACATCGACCCACAGCAACAAGCACCAGTAGTGCACCATAGCAATCAGTAGCTACTGGACGCAACTCCCGTTCTATGAGCATGTCCAAAACATAACAATGGAGGTTCGTTTTTTTTAGACTGTATGCTGACTAAGACTGCTACTGGACAAGGACATGAAGACGGCAGAAAAAAATGCCACTTTTAGTCCTCTGAATTTACCAGAAGAAGTTAAAGCCAACGTTTGTCAGTGCAGTTCAGAAGTAGCTGCCCCTATGTACATACTTTTCTGTTCCCCAAAACGGACCCAGAAAGAGGTTCTACAGGGACGGTTCTTGTGGTTGGAAGATGCCAAAAGGTTCGACCCACCCTGGAACGACCGTCATATCAGCGACACTGTTTATCTGGTACTTACGATGTAGTCATGACATCCTTCTCCATGCATATTCACCAACATTCAGCTTGTCCTTGCAGTATAAATTTGCCAATTGTCAACAGAAACCCTCAGTAACTTTCACTCCCCAGTGAGTGATCAACCACTACAACTTCCACAAGCCCCATGTTAAACCCGGTTTAACATATCAGTGTGGAGCCCTACTTTTGTTTATTAGAAACACCTACACTGGACTAGGAACTTTACTCTGCAAACACAATTTGTTGCCACTCACCTCCGCTCACTTCCTGAGAGGCGATGACGAATCCGAAGCCTTCCCCTGGCCTCCGCCTCAGCTCCACCTCCATCGCCTTGACTCCGCCTCCCCCTCGCCCGTCCTTGGCGATGGCTCCCAGGGCCCCGCCCCCTCTGGCCGGAGGAGGCCCGCCGGCGCTCTCCTCTACGCCCAGCAGGTCTCGTGGCTCTAAGGTCAACGTCACCGGGACTGAATCCAGGAAGCTGGTGCTCTGGATGAGAGCCGAGGCTGGGGGCCCGTTCGGCGTCTGGGCAGGAGGAGCTCCTGGGAAACAGGAAGGAGTCACAGTGATGGGCGTCTCACTGTTTAATGAGATGGAAGACTGAAGCTCTTTGTGTAATACTGTAGTGACATGAGGAGGCAGTTGATCGGACAACAACTAATTCCATGTTGACGAGCAGAGAGTGCTGTGGGGGTTTAGTTACCAAAGGGGCACCACAATAAAGACTGCATTGGTTCATGACTTCTGGAGTCTACTAGGACTTAGTTAGTAGTGCTGAATGGCTAATGTAAACATGGTTAAAAATAACTCTGTACTCATGGAATGATGTCTTCTGTAATTTATTCATTATAACAAATGATGCAGTTATGGATTAACGACAGGTTTTTAAAATTTGCACCCCTAGTCTGACTGTTGGTGCTATTTCCCACCAAACCATCTCCTTACAAAGACTTTCTGAAGAATTTGGATTCAGAACTGGATTCAGATTTGATAAAACACCATCAAACCTGAGCCCTGATGACTGTATCGGTGGTGCGTTTACCTTGGTGGTTCCCTGGAGCTGGTAGGTGCCCCTCCTGGGGACTCTCGAGGGCCAAGCCAGCCTGGCTGAGCAGGGGGACGCCCCCCACCAAGGCACCCGTGGACGCTGAAGGCAAGTCGGCTGAAGTGTTGGGGTGGGAGGAGGAGGGAGAAGGGGTGGTTGGACCATGTGGGGATGGGAGGGGCTTGTACAAGTTGGGGGTGACAACTGGAGAGGAGACGGGACCTGGAGGACAGAGTGAAGTTTGGAAGTGTTTTTGTTGACAACAAGCCATTTTTCACTGCAGGATCAAGGTGTGAATGATGATGGAACTGGGAAGGTTGTCAGCGCTGCACTACGAGTACCTCATAATGTGCTGTTCCAGTTAACATGAGGTCATTTTCCACTGCAGGAACTTGTGAGCAGTTTTAGGGTTGGGTGGACATTTTTCTGTGTTCTGACAGCAGGAACCATCCCCGTTGTACCTTATTCTGGGCTGTTTTTGGGGAAGAAAAGAGCACCTTCTCCCTGGTAGCCTCAATGCAAGGCTTGACACTGATTAGTAAAACTCAGAGAGTTGTACACGGTCAGAACTGGAGTAACATCCAGTAAATACTATTTGTCAGTGTTTTAGTGCACTATGAGATAATGTCGCAATCAAAGCTGTTGGATGCTAAACTGCAGTGTAAACAGAAAAGCTGAGAGGGCTGAAAACTGGGCCATTTCTTTAACATGTGGCACCACCTCTCACCTGCTCCAAGCTCCTGGAGTGGAAAGTGTCATCGGTAACATTCTCTGATATCAGCTGATATATTGGATGTTGGGACTCAAACTGGGAATTGTTTATCACGTTTATCCAACTTTGCATCTTTGACGACAATTCAACAAAAAGGCTCACCTTTCAGAATGTTTCACAGTCTCTTTCCCTGATTCTTGTTTTCTTTATAATAATTATCAGCGCTGTAATCAATGAAAGGGTGGGGGAGTTTAAAAGTCCAGTCGTACCTCCTCTGTAGACCAGCAGTACCACCTCTCCCTGTTTGGTGTGTTCCTGTAAGACTCTCTGGACCTGAAAGGAAACAAACTCATGGTTATTGTTTTTAATGGAGGTTTCTTCAGCGCCCGGTGTTGATGGGTTGCTAGTGCTGTGTCTCTTTATGGTCTTCAGCAAAAATAGCATGTAAATGTCAATGTATTGGTCTGAGATTTTCTGCCAAAAGTATCCCCAGGTTAGCAACTGCAACAGTGCACTGTTCACAGATTCATGAGGCTACTGTGGCCTGGCTGGATGTTGGTTCACCTGGGAGAAGCTGAGGCTCTGTACGTCTGCTCCGTTGATTTTCACAATAGCGTCTCCTGGCTGCAGCGAGGGGCACTGCCTCCGATCCCAAACACGTCTCACCACTGCATGTTGACCTCCTTGTCCTCCCGCCGTCACGCTGAACCCCAGCCCCCCGCCCTCACTGCGACCGAGGGCCACCGGCACAAGCTCTCCGTTGAGGCCCGACCCGGGCGACCCTGCCCCGAGGGGCAGCACCAGTCCTGGGTTTCCCCTTGAGGCCGGGGATGGCGCTTGGTGACTGGCCGGACAACCGTTAAAGCCACAGGGAGGGATGTCTCTCGGTGGTGTCAGGGCGAGGGAGGTCTGGGGCATCGGTGGGCGCTGCACAGGTGCACCGGTAGGTGTTGAGGACGAGGAGGGGTTGTTGGTGGTGGTGTTGGAGGGGCTGGAGGAGTTCTGAAGGAGGCCTGTCTCAGGCTGAGAGAGTGGCAGTTTGGACAGAGTGTGGGAAGACGAAGACATGATGGGCAGCGTGGAGGAGGACATGGGGAGTGTGGACGTGGACAGATCGCTTTCTGAGGACTTGGAGCTCTGGTGGTGGAGGAGGGAGGAGGAGGAGAAGGCAGGGAGAGTGCTGCTGTTGTAACGAATCAGAGATGACCTGTGAGGAGGAGGGTGGAAAAAAACGTAATTCAACAGGATCAGCACAAGTATGTCTGAGATTACTGCTAAAGCTGCAGGGACTTTAACCAGGGAGCTGACAACCTTTAGAGGTTCCTGTTCTACCCAAGGCAGTAGCATTCAGAAGTATCAGGAACTTTTTGTGGACACTGTGAAACTAAGTGATACAGTTTCACCTGAGGTTCCACTGGACAACCCAGGTTCTAAATTAAGTCCAAACACTTCCTGCAGGGCTCTCTGAAGGATCAAGAACCTGCTTACTGAGGACCTTGAGAGGTTCTTATTCTTTTGTTTTTGGTGTCAACACTGAACTTGTGGAGCTATCTGGTGTTTTTCAAGCATTTTACAACTGCCACTTTTTAAAAACACATAAACGGGACAGCATCCTCAAAGGGGTTCATGTAAAAATATACAGTGGATTTAACACATATTTATATTTACACAAGCAGCTGAAATGGCTTTTTTTAAAAATCAGACCGAAAAAAATCAGACAGCAGCAGTCCTAAGTAACTACACTGAGGACCACCAGCATGAACAATCTTTAGTTTTAGAAACCTCCGCTGTCCACCACCAGTCAGCCTGAATAACCGTCAGTATGTGCGACCACTGCTATCATGCTAACACTGCAAATGCTAGCTCTGCTAATGCTAATGCTAATGCTTACCTTCGAGTTCCAGCACTGGACAGGCCGCCATCAGAGTCGCTGTAATTGGGCGGCGTCCTCTCTGGAGGGGGTGGTGGGCCCAGCGGGAGGTCAGAAGACGTTGGGGTGGGCGGGCCCGCCAGTCCATTCGTCATTGGCTGAGCGGCGTAGGAAGGCGGGGTTTGTGCCGGCCCTGGATTTAAGAATGAAGGAGACAGTTGATTGGTGTCGGAGTAAAGTAAGTAGGACAGGAAAACGAGTTTAGTGGAGTTTCATGGTCTGACCTGGCGTGCTGCCGTTGGATTCCAGCGTGCGACTATAGGTGAGGTGGGTCAGGCCTCGGTTCAGGTTGGGGGGTTCGCTGGGAGTCTGTGGCTGTTATCAGATATGAAGTAAGAGAGCAATGTTTATCGCTGTTCTACAAAAGTCTTCACACTGATGGCATCACGAGAAACTGATAACAGTTACATCACTTCAGAAATGCAAGTTGAGCTTCAAGCAACTTTTAGGTGCATAAAGCCACCGACTGCACCAAAGTACGTATAAAAAAGGGTCTAGTTGGTGGTCCTTCATATTGTACATTCACAAATAGAATCTTTCAAGAAATAATGGGAAACATAAATTTGATTGTTTTATCGCCGTTTTGGTATGTGATGCTTGTCTTTATTTATTTTATTTTATTTAGTGCACAAAAACAGACAAAAGGGATATTGTTGAACCAGCATGTCAAAACCTAAATATTATCACATGAAACAGAAAAAGTCTGGATATTAATGCACAAAAATAGCAAAAAATGGATACTTTAACATACAAAAAAGGCAAAAAGCTGGATAGTATTGCAACAACACAACAATGACTTGTTTCTGTTCACCTGGATCACTTTGTGGAAATCTGGTTCTTTTCTTGTCCAGAAAGAAAAATGCAATTTACCACGATTCAATGATGAGGAAAAACTTGAATACTTTTAAGGTCCACTGTGTATCCAGTGATGCGTTTGAGTGAACCAGGGAATCGTACCGTCTCCAGACTCTGTTTGGGACAGCCGTCGGGGTTGTAGAGCATCGGGTATCCTCTCCTCAGCACCACGTCCACGCTCTGACCCATCGGCACCGACTTCAGCATCTCCACCACCTCTTTGTGGGAGCGACCCAGCACACAGGAGTCGTTGATGTAGACCAGGATGTCAGCTGCAGACCAGACACACCAGAGAAACCAGTCAGGTTGATGTTCACGCACCTCAACTTTAGTCTGACTTCACTGTTTGAGCAAATTTTGTTGTATGTTCTGAACAAACCAATGTGTGTGCGTGACAGCATGTGCATTCACTTTTATGTGCCATACAAACGGCAAACAAACTGCTTCCTTGTTGATTTCTGGTGTTTTCTGCTTCCCAGGTTGATTCATTTCCATTCCTGCCTGCTGATCCTCGCAGCACGTGAGCCGTCCGACAGATTAAAGTGTGTGTTTGTGTGGATTAGTTGTAGATCATGAGATTGTTGAGAGAAATAAAGAGCTGAGAACCCAGCAGCTCTGTAATCCTCCACAGAGAGACACAGAGCGTGTATTTAAAGCTGGATTCTGTTTCAGTTTAAATATAGCGTTTTTCTCTGCCTGCTTTGGCAGCTTATGGAAACCTTTTATTTTACAAACAGAAGAAACGCTCGGTAATGATGTCACGGCTTCCTAGACTTTAAAGAAAAAATGACTCGCTAAGTTCACCAAACTTAAAAAACACAAGCACTGGTTTAGATAATAATGAACTTTGTGTACCAGACTCTGTTGAAAACATGTTAATTTTTAGGCTTGAACCCTGTGACAGTGTTCACAGCTTGTCAGAACCAGACTGTTGGACTGAGCCGACACCAGGATGACGACAGAATGTTTCTGCAGCGCTCTCCTCCACAGCACCTGTCCTCTGTTTGCTCAGACTCACTGCTTTCTGCACAAATACATGTTTCATAGATCTGAATGTGCTGCACGTGAACACCTGAGCCTCCAGGTGGAGCAGCACATGTAGGAACAGTAGTAGTAGTAGTAGTAGTAACAACAGTAACACTGGTAATAGTAGTACCTGCATTTATTGCAGATGTTCAGCCCAGGTTGTAGTAAGATCAGTAGCAGTAGCTACATTCAGAGCAGGTAGTCCTTCAGGAGTAGTAGTAGTAGTAGTACTAGTAGTCCCTGTATTTAGAGCAGGCGGTCCTCCAGGTATTGTAGTCGTAGTAGTATCAGTAGTACTAGTAGTACCTGTACTTAGAGCAGGCAGTCTTGCAGGTATAGTAGTAGTCGTAGTACTCGTAGTACTAGTAGTACCTGTATTTAGAGCTGGTGGTCCTCCAGGTATAGTAGCAGTAGTATTAGTAGTAGTAGTACTAGTAGTACCTGTATTTAGAGCAGGCGGTCCTCCAGGTATAGTA